TGGAACCGGTGGGCGGTTAGAAAATTTTACTACTAACAAAGATACAAAAGTGAGCGGTAGGTATAAAAAGGTTGACTACCCCTGGATTAACCATGGAACAACTTGCCCCCAGAAGTTGTGAATTCTCCAACACTGGAAGTTTTTAAAGAAGAGATTTGACAACCATTTGTCTGAAATGATATAGGGCCGTGATGATGGCCAACTTATGGCACGCGTGCCACATATGGCACTTGGCGCCATCTCTGTGGGCACATCAGCCGTTGCCCTGTGTCATCTCCAGCATGCACATGTGTGCAGTTTTTGCTCTCCCCAGGCTCAAGGAAAGCCTCCGGGTGAAAAATAGAACTTCCGGGCCTACTGGAAGTTCAGAAATGGACTGTTTCTGGCTTCCAGAGGGCCTCCAGGGGGCAACTGGAGACGCCTCCGGAGACTTTCCTTGAGCGTCTGGGAGGGCAAAAACAGCCTCCCTGGGCTCTGGAGGCCCTCCCTGAAGCCTCCTGGTGCCAAAAATGGCCTCCGGAGCCTGGGGAGGGTGAAAACTCCCACACACACCACATGCATGCACGGTGTGTGTGTGTGTGTGTTTGCATGCGCATGTGCAGATGAGTGGGTCACATTGCATTTCAGCATGCAAGGACAAAAACATTTGTCATCGCTGATATAGGGTTTCCTGCCTGAGCAGGTGGTTGGACTAGAAGACCTCCAAGGTCCCTTCCTACTCTGTTACTCTAAATTCTAGTGGTGGCTTTGTCTCCTTGGGGAAGAATCATGATTTCCAAATTCTTGTTTAGTTGGGGATTTTTTTAAAAAAACAGCTTTCTTTAGGCACCAATGTTCTTGAATATTAATTCTAGTTCATTACAAGCTTTATTGTATGAAGTAGTATGGGCTTGTTCAAGGATTCTTCCACTTATTACCACAATAAAGGCTAGCCATATATAATTTGGTAATGTTTCCTAGACCACTCCATGGTAAAACTGTGAGTTTTGTCTAGGAAAACACCTGCTCTTTTCAGGGCCCAACATCTCCAATAAAAATGGTCATGGGCATCAGAACTGGACACCACGCTTGGACAATCACTTTTTGGGTCATTTGAAATGCCTAAAAGTTAGAAGTACATCATCAAGCAGGATTATGATTTCCATACATTTTGCACATTCCCATTTGCACATGCCTATAACTTCCAATTTCTTAGTGATTTGTGTATAAGATATGTGTCTTAAATAAGCAGCTACAGAGTGGTATAAAAAAGAGAGGATATCTAAAATAATTTGCTAAAAGTACAGATTATTCAACTGGATTACCTCTAGGACTTCCTGTTTTTCAAATGTATATAAATCAAATCTGCCTTGATGGAAGAGATGGAAGAGTTCTACCTCCCATGTTTGAGTACCATATGTTGTCCATTATGGGCAAGAATTATCTACAGAGTCTAGGTTAAACTGAGAACTGACCATATAAACAAGTTTGCAGTAATCAGAGGACAGTGTGAAAGAATATCATAATCTCTCTCTCTCTACTTAGATACAATAACTTATATATATTACTATTTTCTCATTATAGAATTATGAATATTTACATGTCAAATCTAGTATACAACTGGGAACTTTCCTAATGCGAAAACGTGGTTTGCGCTTGAGTGAGACATTCCTGGAAGATCTAAAGATGTTGCCCAGTTCCTATGAGAAGGGAGAGTATTTTAAATTTCTGGAAACATATGGAACTCATTATTCACAGAGAGGAATCATTGGAGGAAAATATGAGTTAATATACGTGTTGGATAACCGAACTATGACATCCAAACGTAAGGACATAATGAAAGTAATCTCTTATAACCAAGAGTAAATAATGGGGAAACGGTCAATCAGGGCATCTGATTTCTGACCATCAACATGTTTTCTTTCAAATTGAGTTCTTCAAAAATCTTAAGTTGGATCAGTTCAGGATACCAGTTGTATCTAATGCTTATTAACCCATTATGATGCTACACACTATATGATGTTTATATTGAGCTGCCCTTAGTTTTTTTGTTGATTCCTTGACTTCAGAGACAAGTAATGGATTCCCTGTACAAGTAGTCCTCAACTTACAACCAGTTGCTTAGTGACTATGCAAAGTTACAACAGACCTCTGAAAAGCTACGTACAAACCTAGTTTTGAAATTATGGCTACTGTAGCACCCCCACAGTTATGAGGGAGGGGAGAGTAGATTTGCCCTTACAACCAATAGCAGGGACACTGCAACATCTATTCCTCCAGAACAGTGTTTCTCAATCTTGGTGACTTGAAGTCCCGTGGACTTCAACTCCCAGAATCCCCTAGCCAGCTGTGCGGGACTTCAAGTCACCAAGGTTGAGAAACACTGCTCCAGAAGCATGTTGAAAAAGGAGAGCAGTCCACTCTGCCACCTGTTACTCTTGGCTCCCATCCTGAAAGGGGATGCCATTTTCAGAATGGCTCCAATGAATTGAGGCAGCTCCTAAAATGGCACCTGCTTCCATGTGGCCTGCAGGGTTGCAAGGGATCAAACAGCCTGCTTTCCTTCCCCACAGCAAGTTCCAAAGCTCTGGATATCTATAGCAGATGAGTGATTGGTGAGAGGGTGTGGGGAGGAGGATGTAGGATCTAGTGGGGTGGGAAATTGGAGTGCGGGGACCCTGAGTTGGGGGAATTGGACTGCAAGATGCCTCAGGCTTTGGGAGGTCTGGGGTAGGGAGAAGTTAGAAAGGGTGCCAGGCAATAGTGGATTTCCAATTTTTTTATTACCGGTTTGTTCAGGCACGTGTGTGTGCTCATGCGCAATGCTTCTGCACATGCGCAGAAGCATCCGGGTGGGTGGGTGGGCAGAGCTTCCCACCGCCACTACTACGAGTTCGCCTGATCCAGGCCGAACTGGGAGCAACCCACCTCTGGTGCCAGGGAGCCTTATTGTAACTCCTCATGCAAACCCTTTTGTGAAGTTATGGTTTTAACCACCACCTACTTTTTACAATTGCCTTTGCCTCAGAGGACTTATTAACCCATTGTGATACTAAGCTTGAAAGGAATTTTATTTGCATTCAATAAATTCTTGACATTTTCTGAGCTAAGGCCTCACCAGCCTTTCAATAGAAAGGCTTCTCTGGAAAGAGTGCAGAGAAGAGTAACAAAGATGATTAGGGGAATGGAGGCTAAAACATATGAAGAACGGTTGCAGGAACTGGGTATGTCTAGTTTAATGAAAAGAAGGACTAGGGGAGACATGATAGCCATGTTCCAATATCTAAGGTATTGCCACAAAGACGAGGGTATTGACATATTCTCTGCACTCTT